AAAACAACAATTTATAAGCGAAAATACCCAACGAATCAAATAAATTTGCCTTAAATTTAAAGACACAACATTGAAGAACATAATAAGTGATGTGTGTCCATTTTTTCTAAAAAATGTATGAAACATGCATGGCACTACAATTTAAAATTCAATCATTACTAAATCTAACCAAAATTCATAAACAAGTTGCCAGCCTAATGTGCAATTACAACTCCACTGCAAAGGATAATGTTAGGTCTCATGCATAAACTCCTGATACTTTTTTCAACGTGCATCCTAATAATGATAAATAGCAGCATTCATGAACCATACTCAGGATAAAAAATCAAAGATGATGATCAACACATTTAAGTAGAAAACAAAATGAGAGCTATCCTAGCAGGAAATTTAATCAATGGCAATAGTAAAAAGAATCAATGCATGTAGAATTTGAACACTTCAAAATTAAAATTCTTTTCCTCAAACTTAAAGGCAGGTTATTGTTAATTTCCAACCTATTCAGGTCCAGATTTGAGAAATTGGATTTGGATCCTAAGGCTGCTCCCCCAGATTCTTATGAGGACTCATCATCATCTCCATCCTCCTCTTGGCTTTCAACGATTTTCTCTATATGACGTAAAAAACAACAATCAAATATGTTCTACATGGAGGAATCAATTGCCGGTGATTGAATATCTCGCAGGGTGATAGATCGGGGAATGTCGTCAGTTGGGAGAGAGAATAACTAGGACGAAGACGGCGATTGGTCACCGTATGGGAGCTCATCGAAGGCATGGCCTCAGTGGTGGAGGACACCAATGGCGACTCGACGAAGTAAGGGTAGAAGCATGTCCAAAGAAACAAGAATACGAGTTTGAGTTTGCTGGAGATGGAGATCCTGGGAAGGAAGAGATTGAACGGAAGGGATGATGATGAGAGGGTAAATTATTGACCTTCGTTTCTTTTTTTTTTTTTCAATTCATATGGGGCCCACAATTAAATTGTTTGGCTCCACTAATGAGCAATCTAAGATGGACCACCAGCATGTAAAAAAAAGCCCACGTATCGTTGACCTGTACATGTATGATAGAAATTAATGATGCACATGGTGCACGTGGCCCCTCAACGTTAAATATTGCTTTATTATCATAAATTCGAATACTGGGAGGGTATAAAATTACACATTGTAATGTGAGGGGTAAAATCCCACACTCGAAAAGTTGAAGGGCATTCTGTGAGGTTTTGCCTCTCGTTTTCTTGAATTTTGACTTTCTTGTCCTTAAGTTCAATTCACCATAAGATTTTCTTGAATGACTATTCTAAGGTGGTTGATTTAGGTCAAGAGATGTACCTTCTCATCTAGGATTGCCCCTCTTTACTCCAAGTAAGATGAGGATGTGTTCAAGCAATTTATGTATTCTTTGATTGTGTCCTTTTCTTGAATAAGATAAATCTCAAATGGATCCTCAAAAGTGTTTTCTTGCAAAATCTCATCAACCATGTCAACAATAAAATAATTATTAAAATCATATTTGGTCAATGGAGACTTCCCATTAAACACTTCAAATGATACTTGAGCTTTTTCCTCTTCTTCCTTAAGGACATCCTCTTGTTTAGTTTTTGCAAGTATACTTCCTGCTTCTCCAAGTTGTCCTTCAATTTCTAAAGGTAAAGTGTTTACCTCTTTTTGATTTTTCATTGTTGCACTTAGTAACTCACCTTGTATTTTTTTAGCAACAAAATTGAGTGAATGACTTGATTGAACTTCCACATTTTTATCCAAATATGTTTCCTCTTCCGGAGCTTGAAACCTTGATTGTGGCTCCAATATATCTTCATTATTCCATGAGGAGTTTGGATAATTTATCCAATCAAAGTTGCATGTATTGGAATAAGAATTATACTACTAACTATGGAAATCACAAGAAAATTATGCATGTATGTTAGATGGTTTAAAATAGCAATCAGAACTAAAATACTTTAGTTCACACCATCAACAAGTAATATTAAATTATTCTATTATAGCCTTTTTTAATTCAAACTTTTCAATGATTGCTTGAAATCATTCCAGTTCATCATCGTCAAGTCCTGCTTGCCAATTGATAGTTATTGCATTAACGTGTGCCCTTAATTCTGGAGCAAGATATTGATAATTTACATTAGTGTATATGACAACTTGATTTATAATTAAACCTACAAAAATAAAAATGAAGGAAACAAAGAAAAAATTAAAGTAAAGAAATAAAAGAAAAGAAAACGTTCAAATTAAATCTAGAATTAATTAGTTTCGATATTAATTAGATTTAATGATCCCTGACAACAGCACTAAAAAATTAATGGGTTAAAATCATTCTAACAAGTATACTAGTCGTTCTAAATAATATAATGATGGGAATAATGTCGAATCGACAAGAATTGTGATTAATTACGTACTAAAAATAATTAATATAAATTTATTTAAATAATTGAAAAAGAAGAAATTTAATTAAAAATAATAAAAAATAATAATTAAAATAAAACTAATTAAGATGTAAGGTACTAAAGCATTGACTTCATCATAACTAATCAACATAAATTTTAGATTATTGTACTTTGATGATCAATTTGTTGAGTGTTATTGCAGGTGATGGTAGATTTCTCTAAATTAATTAACTAGTTTTCTCAAGTCAAATTAATTCTTTACTTATTTATTAAATTAAACATATTTCTATATAATTTAAAATAAATTGGTGAGTATTAAATTTTATAGAAACCTTTAGTTTAAGAAAGGAGAGCTCCTAACTCTCTTCTTTTCCTCCATTATCACATGTGACATTAATTACCTCTTGATCTCATAGTATAACATATGATTTATATTATTATTGGTCTAATTTACACAATTATTTCTCAAATTCATTCATAGATTACTAAATCAATTGAAATGTGATTAGGTTCTTAATGTATTAAATTCAATAATATAAACTCATCTTGTAAATAACTTTAATTAAAAGTATAAAAATTACAAAATCTATACTAAATTGATTAGGTTACATCGTAGCCTTTGTAGACTAAATTAGTTTATAATAAAAGTAATAAAATTTGAAATCATAATTATAAATATAAAAATATCAAATAATAAATAAAAATAACCTGAAAAAGACCAAATTTCAATTTAAGAAAATTAAAATTTTTTATTTTTTATTATTAATAAATCTTTTATTTTAATATCTAAAAATATTTAAAAGAGAGCTGTTACTAGTACCCAGAGCTGTCCTTTTATTCTGAATTTAAATGATTATTTATAAAATTTTAAAAAAGCTAATTAGAATAAAAGTGAGACCCATACTAAAATCAAGTTTAAATCGCATAAGGGGTCAACACCTTAATAATGTGCCGACACCTTTAGTCAAGCGTTAAATCAAAACTCCGTGTCGGGTTTTTGGCCTTCCATGGTAAAAAAGGAGAGTCCTGGTCTCTAACTTCTGAATTCCACGCAACTTAATCCTCAACTTTCTGATCTCTACAATTTGCCCTTAAAAATTATAATTTCTCTCAATGAAGTCCTTTTCTACAAAAATAATGAAAATTATAAAAAATCATATAAAATCTTATAAAACTTATCCAAATATTAATAATATCAAGGCGAAAACTTCACATTAATATGCATATAAATTCAGTTCCTCAACCCTCAACCAATTGCCTAACTTACACCACAACAACATTTTAGACTAGAACAATTTTTTCTAGTCATTACCGAGTTGTACGAGAGTTGGAACATTACACGGAACAAAGCATATCTTAAGCAACTAAACCATGGAAACAACAGCCAAATGAATTTAAAATTCTAGTTTGTTCATAACTGATTTTAGAATG